CTGGCACCTCACTCATGAGTATACACTATCTTACAGCGTCAGGGAAAAAGCCTGCGTGGAATTGACTTGTATCAATGTACTAATCCATTAATCCTGCCTGGAACCACAAAATCCTTTTGTAAGATGGTTTCCTGAGATAAGGGCCCAGCTTGTGGCAGACAGAGAGTGAGGTAATGGGTTTTGGAGAATCCCGTCCACACGCTGTTCCCCCATTTGCAGTGCTACTAAGCCACGGGCTTGCTTCCGCCTTTGATCGAAGTCCATCCACCATTGTCACGTGGTTGTGGCCCCATTAAGTGTTTTCAAGGACACTGACATACAGCCCATAGCACGTAAACACAGAAAGAAAGCTGGCGACATAGACAGGCTTCTGGGTCCTGGGTCCTGTCTCTAGGTAGTTAGTGTCACCTGAGAAATCGACAGTGTTTCACAAGCATCCAGTCCTAAGCCCTACTGTGTGTTGGAATCACCTGGTGTTCACCTCATCACTGTTGCTGTGAGAAAATACTGACCCCAAGCAGAAGTCTTTCTTTGGTTTACCCGTCCATCGTCGAGGGAAGCGGGAACCACAGAGGAGTGCTTGCTGGCGGGTTCATGGGGTCATACTTACCTAGCTTTCTTACCAGCTCGAGACCACCTTCCCAGGGATGACACTGCTCTCAGTGGGCTGGGCCCCCCATACAAGTTAAGACAACACCCACCCCCATACTTTCTTCTAGGCCAGTTAGATCTAGGCCGTTCCTCCATTGAGGTTCTCCTCACAGAGGACTCTAGGCTGTGTCAAGTTTACAGTCAAAGCTAACTCTCTTGAAATGTTTTGGTTAATAAGTAATACACGCACATGTCTTATTTGTGCCTAACAATGGGGTTCGATGGCATATTTCAATACAACTATATAATAGTGCACTGATCAAATCTAGCCTCCCTTTACCTACCCACCTTCCTCAAGGCCTTTGCCCTTCTGGGAAGCTTTAATGCCTGCTCTGCCTCTCCTCCAGGCAAGTCCCAAGGTTGGGAATGAGAGTCGGCACCATGGTTTTAAAGATCTGCAGTACTCCCAATGTGCAGAAAATCTGAATTGTGCTGCTTTAGAAGTACTTCACTATCCAGACACCTCAAGACAACTAGATCTCCCTGTGCTGCCTAGTCTTAGGTCAGTTTGACACAGCTATAGTCCTCTGAGAGGAGGGAACCTCAGTTGAGAAGATGTCTCCACAAAACCCAGCTGTAAGGCATTTTCTTAGTGACTGATGGGGGACAGCCCAGCTCATTGTGGATGGTTCCATCCCTAGGCTGGTGTCCTGGGTTCTATAAGAAAGCAGGCTGAGCAAGCCATGGGGAACAGCACTCCTCCATGGCCTCTGCATCAGTTCCTGCCTCCAGGTTCCTGCCCTGTTTGGGTTCCTGTCCTAACTTCCTTCAACAATGACTAGTGGTATGGAAGTGTAAACCAAATCAACCTTTTTCTCCCCAACTTGCTTTTTGGTCATGGTGTCTCATCATAGTGATAGAAACCCTAATGAAGACACTCCCTAAGAGAAGCAGGGCAGCAATTCAACACTGTCTCATTTCATTAGTAACAACAGAGGCCCTAACAATTTAAGGAACACCATCCCTGCCACAGTTACATCACATTCCAGGACAGTGTCACTCCTTCGAGTCTGAACTCAGCATCTCAGACTAGATTCTAAAAATGTTGTGGTGAGAAATTGAGCGGGGACTGGGGGGCACTCGCCTTGGACACCCAGTTGCCTGAACATGGACCTTGGTGTCTGTGGGAGAAACAAGAAAGCTACTTCAGCGTGGCCTCCCACCCCTCCCATCAATGCTGTTTCTGTCTGGGGACCGTGGCTTTGCATGGCATTTACAGGAGGACAAAATAGAACCTTTGTGCTGGACTTGACGGAGATCGTGAAAGGCCACAGCTTGTCTTCGGACTTATGTCAACTATTTATCTCTTGTTGTTTTCACCAAGTCCTCCCCATGCATTTTGAGACTGTCTCAATCACTGGTTTTCTCCAGTGTTCCCAGTCCCTGTTGCAGCAGGTGTGAGAAAAACCTGCCGTCCTCTGTGCCGTGGCACAGAAGCCCAGTGAGATAGTGTGAGGCACCGGGTTACACAGCACAGTAGTGCTAGGAGAGTGTCCAGTAGGAACCAGCCTCCATGGTTGCTCCAGATTTCTTAATCAGAAATTTAGAAGCAAGGATGAAAGGAATTATTCCCAGTCTCCTAAATATCACCATCTCCAAGTGTGTTTCCACCATCAGGCACTGTGTGTGGGAGCACAAATTCTAATAGCTCTACAAACACTTGTGCTAAGTTGAGTCCCTCTTTCACTGGAGGTGGACAGTCAAGAGCTGGGGGGGGGCATTTGGATGCTCTCTGTTTAAGGAAACTTGGGATGGATGACTGTAAAGTTTGAGAACCTGGGGCTGGTCGTAGAAAGAAAACTAAGATGCCTTAAAGTTTACTTTAAAATTATCCCAAGTATCTCTTTCTAGGTTAGAGGACTCTCTGAGCATTATTGGTTCTGTAACCTCAAAAAACTATATTTATATTATTTTTTAAAGTGCCTTGCCACTGAAATTCAGTGGAGAATCCTACAAGACCTGGATCTAAAAGGTTTGACAAAAACTGGCTTTTGTCTTCTCTTCCTCCCCCCCCCTTATTTTTAATATGAACAAATCTCCACGATGCTATCATGTGTAGGTGTTTTGAATAAAATGCTGAAATTCATGGGTAATTTATTTTATGAAAACATCAGAATTTAAAGTTTCTGTTAATGACTTACTCAAATCCCATAACAGTTCCTTGACTGGGAGGACAAAAGGTGTTGAAACGTGGAACCCTCCTATGTTAGAGGTGGGTGGTCCACATGTGAGCAAGTGGGCATACCACAGCTCACTTCTGCTGCAGCTCACCCCTGCACCAACCACTCACGCTGGGCACAGGGTGGTACTCAGTGTGGTCTGTGAATCAAGAGCATCATCATCATCATCATCATCCTTTGGAGTTATTTGTGGAAGCAAATTCTCAGGTCCTCCAAACAGATCCACTGGATTGGAACATCTGGGGTAAGGCTTAGCCTCAGGCTCTGCAGGTTATTCTCGGGATTATCAGATTTGGGAAGCACTGACCCTAGGCCAAGAGTTCTCAGGCTGTGGTGCCCAGTCACACCAACAACCCCCAAGAATGCATTAAAAATCATGTGCAGTGCGTTTTCATGGGTCTTTGACAGGTGAGGGCTGAAAGGCTCCATGACCCTTTCACATACTTAAGGACCACAGAGATGGAAAAACTGAGTAATAAATAATGAATTCTTGGGGCAAAGGAGTGATGGCTCAGCCAGTAACCTGCTAGCCATGCCAGTGTGAGGACCTGGGTTTCATCTCCAGCCTCTGCTTGCTTGGGCAAGCTCTCCAGGTAGATGGACTTGTGAGGTTGAGAACCACTGACCAGGGTGCCCACCAAATCCTCCATCTTCATGAGCACACAGAACATTAAGGCTTTCTGATTTCTGCCCCTCCTTGGTGACCTCCTAGGTGTCTCTTGGCAGCTGCCTGACCATCTCTGCCACTTCTGTCCCAGCTGCAGACTGGGAAGTGCAAGTCAGAGGGTGGGGCCCTGCGGTACTTGTAAGAACCAGACCCGGACTCTCCAGGACTGCCCAGTGCTCAGACTGTAAAGCCAGGGGATCTGAAAGCAGGACTCCGGAAGGACTGATCATGGCAACTTAGGGAGCTGGAGCAGGGCCACACTAGCGGGCATCAGGACTCACCCCGCTCTCCCTGAAGGGACAGACCACAGGACTTAGGATCCTCAGAGTGGCTACTGATCACTTTTCGGGTCAGCTTTAGGAGGCCCTGGCTTTCACATTTTCCCAAAGCCACTTGGACCTGTGATAGAAAGAAAACTCTAACAATGAGAGAGAACTGGGGCGGAAGAATACAGGAGGAGTCAGGGGATGGGGAGAGGGGGTCTGCTGTTGAGCTGGTAGAAAACACAAGATACTTAGCAGACGCCGTGGCTACTGCTTACTCTGCTTCTGCCACGGTCATGTGAAGATCTTTGCATTTGCTTTGAGGCTATAAAGAGGAGCTGGGGAGGAGGTGACATCCAAGTTTGTACTTGGAGCTTCCATAGGTCTTACTTGGTAAAAGGCGATGTCAGGTGAGTTCTTCACGCAGTGGAATACATGGCACATTCTTTGTTGATAGATCTGTTCCCAGACAAACTCCAGCTGCTCAATGTCCCCAAAGCAGCATGGGAATAGCTGTGCACAGTAGTTCCTGTTCCCCAGGGGATGTGTCCCAAGACACCTATGAGTGCCTGAAACAGTGTATAGCAAGAAACTTCGTATCTCCTACGTTTTCTTCTATGTATGAACACCCACGATGAGGTTTATAAATTAGGCTCACTGAAACTAGTAATAATAGCTTGTAATAAAATAGGAAATTATAATGATATATTATAAAAACTGATGAATTATTTTTTCCTGGACATTTCTGCTTAATATTTTCAAGTATTGGAGAGTAACACGGGGCTGGGAACTATTTCTCTCGACTACCACCAATTACCATGTCTGTTTGTCTTTTCTTCTGAACTCAGGTTAGAGATGGCAAGATGAGTTTGTTTAATTCTTCTGCCTCCCAAACTCCCACTGAAATGACCTAAGACTATAAAACCAGGGCAAGGATGCGCCACCAGGGAAAATGGGGCAGTGGCAGATGCAGGGGAGGTGCTTGTCATTTCTGGTACACAGAGTACAGCCAAGATTCGAGAAGGAAGGCCTGTCCTGCCCAGGACTCAGTATCTGCTAAGGAACTAGCAAACGGGTAGGTAGAATTCTCCTCAAAGCTCCCACGCACGGTCTCAAACATCAGGACTTCTGGACAGCTGGACAGCAGCCACAAGGAGGAACATGTTACCATTGAGTTCAGACCCACCATCAGAAAGCTGTACTAACTTACAAGCCTCAGTTCTGTCCTTTGTCAAATAGGGAGAATGTCTACATCACAAGACGCAGTAAGGATGAGAAACAGTACGCGTCCAGAGACACAGCCGGAAGGTAACTCGTCCAGAGACTCAGCTGCTAAGGGTTTGATGCAAGTTATTGCTAATCTGCAAGGAAGCCTTCGGAAAGTGGTCTCATTCTAATCAGGCAATGCCTCTAATGAGGCAACCAGAGTTCTGAGAGGGTGAGACACTTGTTCAAGGTTCATGCTGTTTCAGGTAGAGTAGGCTGATGCTCCAAGTCCTGAACCTACTTTGCTATTGTTTCTGTCCCCCGCCCCGGTCCCCTCGCGCCGTCCTGTTTGGCAGTTCCTCGTGTACCTCAGGCACTTGTCTCTACTAAGTTCGGGGGTCATAGGCCTAAGCTGCCACACCCAGCTAACACTTCTCTTTTCAGCAGCGCTGGGTCTCAAACACAACACAGTATAATAACCACTCATACAGCATTGACTGTACTAGCATTTTGTTTTCTAGAGGTAATTTCAAAGCACAAAGGATGACTACTCAGGTTTTATGCAAATACTGCATCGTGTTTTTCCTACTGAAAAAAAAAATCGTCTGTGTAGCTCATTCTGTCCTCAAACTTGTGATCCACCTGCCTCAGCCTCCTGAGTGTTGATTTCACAGGTACGCATCTCCATGTCCAGCACACAGCATTTTTAAATATGGAGCTTAAACACATATCGAGGTTGGTAACCGTGAGGGCTCTGGAATGAACCTCCTGTGAACACTCAGGGATCATTCTATGACAGTCCTTCAGCAGCTTTCTAAGCAGACATTTAGTTGAAGACAATAGAATTTGGGGCTCAAACCCACAATTAGATAAAATCATTCGAAAGTGAGCCTGGCTCAATCCAAGTCTCTCTCATTAGTAGCATTCTGCTGTTCTTTAATTGATGTCTGTAGAATATCATTCGGTTTATTATCTTTGGATTGGGTTTTACTCCCAGTAGATAAACGGGGGGTGGGGGGTGGGGGGGATGGGGGGAGACTTCAAACTGTGGTCCCAGACCCCGGGAGTTCTTTGATGAAGTGAATTACTGAGTGTGCAAGTGTTTCTAAAGCACTGCATTTCTTTTCCAGTGGAACACACAGAAAACACCGAACTCCCTCTGACACTACTTGAAAAACACAACCCTTGGCCAGCCTATGTCACACACACCTCCCTGGCAGTCAGGCGGCTCATTGACAAGAGCAGAGTCCGCGAGCTGGAGTGCATGCGCGCTGCTGAGGAAAACCGCAAGTCCGTGAAACAGAGCAAAACCAGCTTCATGACGCTGAAAAGGAAGAAGTCATCCAAGTTCTCGGAACTCGTGCTGAAGGACGCCCTGTCAGGATCCAGGCTATCCACGTGGGACCATTTCTCTGCAACAAACGTGAGTCCCATATTCTTCCCAGAATCTGAGCAACTGCAAATGGAAGCCAGAGAGGGTCCCACGTTCAACTACAACAAGATCATTTTCTCCAAGTGGCCTGCGATGAGGAAGCTCCCATATGGCTTATTACAGGACAGCAAGGAGACAAATGCCAAAGGTTAACAAAGAGCCAGCCCTGCGGCCATCCCCTGAGGATGTACAACAGCCACCCTCCATTTGCTACAAATTACACCATGTCTCTGAAATTTGCACTTGTTCGTGTTTCTACACAGCTTGGCAGACAGGACCTTATCAGAAAGTGGGCTCTGGGTGGGTGGGTAGACAACCCCACCACTGGAGTTGGTTGGGGTGGGATGGGGGCTGGCTGTAGCTGCTGAAGGCCCAACTGCACATGTTTGCCCACACCCAGACAGCAGACAGAAACCACAGCAGTGACTTTACCAGTTCATTTAATAGGCTCTTAAACCCAGTGACTAAAGGGGATGGAAAGGTAAGAGAATCCAGCTATCAACAGAGGAAGCTCCTGAGGGGAGCCAGTGCTGTCCCTGGAGTCACCGGAAGTCAGAGGCCTGCAGAAGAGGTGTGCAGGGAAGCTCAGACTTTCCAGGGTAGGGGAGGGGGTTTGGGCCCAGCTTGTGTTAGGGACTCAGTGCTGAGGAGAGAGCCCCTGCAGGGTGGTATCCCCACCTCTGAGAAGGGGTTCCTCTTCCCTGGTATCACATCTGTGAGGCTGGTTCAGGGAGTGGTAGAAAACTCAAAAATTGGATTCAAATGCTGGAAGGCATTGCCACTGCCTGGCTGACAGGCAGGAAGGGATCCCAGGGGAAGCTGCCAGAGGCGGGAAGGGGACAGTAGGAACCATCAGGAAGCAGCGAGTGAGTTCTTTCTGCCCCCCACCCCAACACTAACAATGCAGACTTCTGCTAGCGCCCTCTGTGGGCAGGGCGTGGTAGGGCATAAGGAGGAACGCTGTCAGCTGATTCCCGGCCCTACCATCTCTCAGGCAAGTACAAGAGGATGATCTTTGAAGCCAACAAAAAATTAGCCCAGGGACTACCACTGGGGTTCTCATGCTCCCTGTGGCTCCCGAGGCTGGTATTGGAGTGCTTTTCCCTTAGAGGGCTTACAAAATGGTGTGTGTGTGTGTGTGTGTGTGTGTGTGTGTGTGTGTGTATGTGTGTATGTGCAGTGCGTGTGCTGAGAAATGGAGGATACTCCTCCATTTAAAAAAAAAAGATATTTTTTACTTTACTGTGTGTATGTGTACAAGTGTGCCATGGTGAGTGTGCCATGGTGCGTGTGCCGTGGCACACATGGGGAGATCTGAAGACAGCTTGGGGGCAGTTGGTTCTCTCTGGCCCTCATGTGAGTCTTGGAGACTGGCCTCAGGTTGTCATACTCAGCAGCAGACATCTCCACCTACGGAGACATCTGGCTGACACTCTCTTGTACCTTTTCTTTTTTTTAATCTGGGGGAGCAGAACTGATGTGAATATGGGGGAACGATTAGGATTCGGGGGTGAGTTCCAGGCTGGACACTAGATGTTACTTGTCAGATGACAGCTGGAAATGGCCCCACTCATGCTCTGAACTGGCTCCAAAGTAAGTAAATCCTCCTCAGTCACCAAGTCACTAAGCTTCGTCTTCAGGCGCAGACAGCCTCCTATTTGGGTTTGCCTGTTATCACGGATGACCCTACCCATACTTCTGTGTGTTTTCAAGGCAGCTAGTGCCTGTCTCCTCCAGCGCCCGGTGCACGGGGTGTGAGGTACTAACAGTGGCAACGGCCTTGTGAAAAAGCCCAGCTCTCCTTTGCAGTGCATTTTCTCTTGATTGTAAACGCTCGGCATGACTCACGGGTGCAGGTTTTTAGTCTCTGGCTCCTGTGCAGGGTCTGTCTGAACACTAGTTAGAAGCTCCCAATCCAATCCTGGGTTCTTCACCCTCGGCCAGTATGAGTTCTGCAAAACCATAGCTATTTCCCAGTGAATCTCAGTAAGTACAGTTTGTGTCCTGGAGACACAAAAGAATTCTTCTAAGGGGAATTTTTATCTAAAGACTGTGATGTAGTGGTAATTACATCTGTAATTCAAGCACTCAGGAGACTGAGGCAAGAGAATGATGGGCTACATAGACCCCCGTCTCCAAATAAACAAGTTAAAAACAAAAAGCAACACAAAACAAAACAAAACCCACAAAAACCTCTTTTATCCCTTCATGGGCATTTCTGCCCGGGTCCGTCTGGGAGAGCGTGGGCCACAGCATCTCTTTAAATGTTAACAGGGGTCTGAGGTCACTGTGATTATTTCTCCTAATTCCTTTAAGGACAGAGTGATGTGGCATTTCATAGGCATTTCAGGTTCGTTTTCTTTGTGTTTAATACATTCTTTAACCACGCACTCTATAGTAGTTGATTTTTAGCTAGCACGATTTAGAATAATTTCACTCTCAGTCTAGTGTAACAACATAGGCATGATCCAGGGATGTCATGCACAGCTTCTGCCCTGATGGAAAGGGCCTGGGCTTTGGGCATGCAATGTCTCACGGGGCAATTTTAAGACTGAAAAAAAAAAATCAATTCCTTTTGAAATGGAGGACTCAGGTTAAGTCTAGGTTGGGGACACATGGGTCTGGCCACTTGCTATATTTACAGGAGAACTGGGGTTGCTGCTGGGAAGGAATTACCCCAGGGAGGAAACTGAGCAGGACTAGCTGGGTGTGTAAGGAAGCTTTGGCCACTGGGTGCAAGACGATCCTTACCCTCAGTGACTTACAGTGTGCCATGCTTTGATGTGTCCACTGGTTCAGACTTTCCTGAGGGCTGTGGGCATGAGGACCAGTGAGTCCTCCTCCAAGGATGGTTTGGCTAAAGTCCCGGAGGCCCTGGAGTACCAAGACAAAGAGAAGATGTCTTTGGCTTCACAGCCCACCAGAACACAGGTCCCCACTGCTCTCGGTCTGGCCTTGAAATCTCCAGGTCTGGGAAAGCCCAGAACATACTTGTTGGGACCAGCTTTGTTCATCCCTAATGTTTCCAGAAATAAACATAGATCCTTTCCAGGACCCTGACATCCATCCGGAGCAGGCAGGGCATGCATGAAGTGGAATGTGGATTATTTCCACGTAACCTTATCTGCTTGTTCAAACCAAGGAATCCCGGAGTATCTCAGGTTACTCTGAGCAAGCGAATGCCACTCTTGAAGAAGGAACTGGCTTTCTCTGATGTTGCACAGCCTATAGCTTCCTCTCATTTATCTCCTCTGTACGAGGTATTTTTTTTTTTTTTTTTTTTTTTTTGCTTAGAGTTTCTGCTGCAATGGGTTTGCTTGCTTTTGTAGTCTGTGTCGAGCCAGAATGTGTACTTTGTCAGCCGTCTGTGTTGCTGGTAACTAAGGCCACATTCTGACACATTTCATTCAGCCGTTTTACACAAATTCCTTGGCTTCCTGTGCACAATGTGATATTTACCATTTGCGAATTCCAAACGGGTGTCAGACAGTTGATGTTTAACCTCTGTGGCCTATCCGAGCCTCTGGTCAGTTTCGCTTTGGACACCAAGCAGTTCTGCATTCTGCAGCTTCCTTAGCGGGGGGGCCTGGGGCTCATCTTGATGGAGATTAGGCCTGCTTCACTGATAAGAGGCTGCAGGAATCTTCAGGGCAACTTCCAGAACAGAGGTCCTGGTTATGGGTGTGGCAAAGCAGACATTTGGGGGGTCACCTGAGATCTCTCTAACTGGAATGGGAGGTAGAGGTGGGACCTAAGCAGATATGATATATATGTTTTGCGGCATGCTAAAGCGAGGCGGATGCGGCATGCTCAGTGTGCGTACTCTCTTTTGTGGTCCAGTGTCCTTATGCAGGAGGACTATCATACAGTTTTGTAGCTTCCCTCTTTAGGATATGGAGAATATAACAGGCAGAACGTAACTCAGGGCAGATGATTTCTGGGCCTTGCCAGGGCTCTTTCAAGGGATCTAAGCAGTCATGGGAAGTAGAAGACCCAGCGTAAGATAGAGACCAGGTCCCTGCACTGGAATCCCAATCAGCTACTGACATGCATCTGTGGAGATAAAGAAGAAGGCTTACATGATGCCCCAGCACTCCAGCCACTCCCTCTGTGTGCCGGCAGCTGTAGTAAAAAGATTATAAAATGTTCTGTAAGCTGTGTCCAAGCAAACAGGGCCATCCACACCACATGGTTCTTTTCGGCTTTAACTCATGTTTCCCCCACCCCCACCCCCGTGTATGTACAGACCAAAGGGCACATTTTTAGAGGCCTCAAGTTATCTGTGGCAGATAGAGCATAGTCTGAGAAAGCCACAGAAAGGGTGTTGGGGAAGGGAAGTAAACAGAAACCTGATTGGAGCTCAAAGCTGAGTTTCTGTTTGTTGAAAAATCTCTTCCTACCTCCTACCCCTCCCTGGCCCATATCCCTTATCTGGGACCCAGGGCCTCAGTCAACTTCTTGGAAACCACAGGGTGACATTACTAAACCTGTAGGGCATAGCTGGGTTCTTGGGAAGAGCCAGGAGGCAGTACAGGGCACCTGTATTACTGTGTCCTCACGGGGCCCTGACGCTTGGTGCACGTTGGTAGGATTCCTGGCAGCGCACTACAAACATGGAACAAGAGAAAAAGTTAAGTGTGAAGTTATGTTCCTTCTGGTAAAGGCCACAGAATGAAGGTACACTTGGAATTACATCACCCCATATTCTATGCCACCCTTCATTCAGGCCCTCACTCTAACCGTGACTGATTTCTCCACGCCACAGGGTGAGAGATGTAGATGTGCAGCTACCTCCTGTGGGTACACAAGCCAAGTGCATGACCTTAACTTTATATTCCAGAGGCAATAAAAATTTCTACCCCGCCTCTGGCGTTTCTAGGCAGTTCTTTCACCGAGGGCCCAGCGCAGCTTACGTAAGGCATGCATTCACTTCCTGTCTCTCTGTTCAGTTTTTCAGCGACCCAGAGCAACCCATTATTTTTAGTAGCTATAGGGACCTGAGAAGACCCAGAATTTCAGACAAGTTGGGAACTTCTGGCACTGTTTCTGCACACGTGCCCAGTGGGCGTACTCTTCATAGAGAACAGTTGATTCGAGAGCCAGCTGCAGCTGGAGGGAAACTGGCCTCAGTGTGGCTTGACTGGTCACACTTTGGGAACCTGTCTGTATCCATTTTACTGTTCAGAATCCTGGGGC